GACAGGCCCTTCAGAGATAGGTAGTGCCAGAGTTTGGAGCGGTCGATTGAGTCGAAAGCCGCTTCCTCGATCTGTCGAGGAAGATGGGAATGGTGGGTCTACGAAAAGAATGTCGATGCTCCAGAATTTGGCAGAGAGTGAAGATGTGGTCGATACAACCTCGATCGGGTATGAAACAAGCCTGGTTCTCACGTGTGCACACTTCACTTGTGGCCGACATCCGACGAAGTAGGATGCCGGCGAGAAGTTTAGAGACGATGTTGGTCAAACTAATTCCTCTGTGGTTTTCACAAGAGGATCTGTCGCCTTTCTTGTAAATCGGTATGATCACCGATTCACCCCATTCAATGGGAACCTCTTCCCTCTTCCACGCTGTGCCCAGGATTTTCGTTAACTCCAAAGCAAAGGCTGAACCTCCATCTTTAAAAGCCGATGGGGACAGCCCGTCGGGGCCGGCAGCCGTATGCCGTTTGAGATAACTTATTTCCCGGGAAACCTCCATTTCAGATAGAGGACTGGCATCAACTGGCAGTATCTGCGCAGTCGCGGTGGAGGGTGATAGTTTAGATGTCGTTCTTGACCAGTTGAACTGAGCCACGGATGGTAGTGACGACCTGTTTTACCTGGAGAAAATGTAATAAATGAACATTATTATCATCAGTTGGCGTTAGAATGGTACAAATAGAATATGGGAAAACTGACGACAGTTAACGTTATAACTAACAGCCTCCGGAGTAGTGATTTTTCCTCAAAGTGTTTAGATGCACCTTGATTCCCGTAATGGATTACTGTGCGGCGAAACCCATAAATAACCCTGAATTATGGGTGTCCTTCCCCTTCCATTTTCGGCTACCGCTGTCATGACTCTAATTCCTGTTGCCGATTCCGCTCGTTTCTGTCGGTTCATGAGCGGTTCGTATAAGCGATTCGAGGACTTCGTTGCCAATCTTCTGGATTATCAGAGAGGAATGTGATCGTTATTCTGCATAAGCAATTCAAGAACTACTGAGGCTTGGGCAAAGCAGCACGGCAACGATCTTCCGGAAGGGTTTCTGGAGGAAGACGACATTCAGTCGATGATTGTTGATTTTGTTATACCTTTGATCTTTATACCACTGCATCACCGTTTACTGATAATGTAGATTCTATCTTTCTATTGTAGCCGATGCACCTACATTGTTAGAAGATTAAAGCCTCGTTTCCGGCCGGCCGTTTTCTCTCTCTCTCTCTCGTTCGTCGCTCAATCATTCGAGCTCATCACAATTTAATCTTCTAACTATGATGGATCGCTTATTTCGCCCGGAGCGATTTGATATCGATTCTCATTCTTTATCCGCTTCCAAACAGTGTATTCACTGGCATGAAACATTCTGCAACTTCATATCTACTGTCGATCTACCCAACATAGAAGAGAAACAGTTGATGGTGAATTTCTTATCGCCTTCCGTTTACCAACACATAATCGATTGTCCCGATTATGAAGATGCTATCAAAACCCTCGAGGGGCTGTACGTTAAACCAAAGAATGAAGTGTTTACACGATATCTACTGGCAACAGCAAAACAAGAACAAGGACAGACGATTGATAAGTTTACACAGAAACTCAGAGTTCTCGCAAGGGATTGTAACTTCGTCGCGGTTTCCGCCGAGAAACGTCGCGATGAAGCTATCCGTGGTGCTTTCATTACGGGGCTGCTTTCCAACGACATCCACCAGCGGCTTCTTGAAAAGCAAACCCTAAGTCTACAGTGTGCTTTTAACGAGGCTCGTACTGTGGAGAATGCACGGCAGCAGCCGCCCACTTACGATTCGGTCTTACATGTACCCCGCAGTTCCATGCCTAACCAGACAGATTCCACCATTTCAATGCAACGCCCAGGAGTTTCTGGTTCACAACCAAAGATCAAAGACCTAGTTGCAATGGTTTCCGCTAAATGCTTTTTCTGCGGAAATTATTGACATCCTCGTTCGAAATGTCCAGCTCGAGAAGCCACATGTAATTCTTGTGGAAACAAAGGGCATTTGCAAAAGGTTTGTCGATCCAGTTCCAATACTCATCTCAGATGTACATTATCTGTGTTAAATTGAACCATTTCTGCCGTTGTTGCAGGATCATCATTCGTCGGTCTCTTCAATTCCACGGTAACAATTCAAGTCAATGGAATAACTCTGAATGCACCAATCGATACAGGCAGTTGCGAGAGCTATCTGTGCACCAACATTGCCGCTAGGCATCGATGGCCTGTAGAGTCATTCAAACATACCAGATCCATGGCTTCCACCCATCTGTTTTGTTACCCAAGGCCACACGTACGCCTATATTCAATACAAGAACTCACACTAGAATAGGGTAAAACTTGCCTTTTAAAAGATTTATGCACAGACGTCATTCTCGGTCTAGATTTCCTCTACCAACATCAGAATGTCACCATTCCCTTTAATGACAACCGTCCACCTTTCTCTGTAAGCACCGCCACTTAGCTTCCGATCACAAATTTATCGAAGCCGAAGTGAAACAATTATTGCTAAACAAGATCATGGAGCCTTCCACATCTCCTTGGCGGGCACAGGTTCTGGTAACAGCTAACGAGAGATATAAGAAACGGATGGTAATTGACTACAGGCAAACGGTAAACCGTTTCACATATCTGGATGCTTATCCTCTGCCACGGGTGGATGAACTAGTGGAAAAGGTGACTCAATATTCTGTGTACTGTACACTTGATCTGCAAAGTGCCTATCACCAAATTCCCATTCCAGAAGAGGAAAAGCCATAAACAGCATTCGAGGCTGGTGGTAAGTTGCATCAGTTCTGCCGTATTCCATTCCGGGTTACGAACGGAGTGGCCTGCTTTCAACGAACGATAGATAATATCATTCATAAAGAACATCTACAAGATACATTCGCGTATGTGGACAACGTCACAGTGTGCGGTCGTTACCCGGACGAGCATAATACAAATCTCCGCAACTTCATGAATGTCGCTAAGAAACACGGTATAACGTTCAATGAACACAAGAGTGTAATTGGCGCTAACAAAATTCTTCTTCCCGGGTACGAAGTTTCCAAAGGTTTAGTCAAGCCAGATCCTGAACGATTCTCAGCCTTGAGGCAACTACCTCTCCCGAAGGACGTCGCTTCGCAAAGACGAGTGGTGGGGATGCTGGCGCACTATGCCCATGGGATCTACACTTCTCCGAAAAAATTCACCCACTAGTGCATAACCACACCTTTCCCATTCCAGACAGCGTAAAATTCTCTTTCGAAGAGTTGAAGAAAGGGCTAGAAATATCTCTATTTTTACCGTTGATTACAACTGCCCACCAATCGTTGAAACCAAAGCATCCGATATCGCAATAGCGGCAACACTCAATCAGGACGGACGTCCGGTGGCTTTCTTCTCACGTACCTTGTCCCCTAGTGAGCGCCACCACTCAGCGATCGAAAAAGAAGCGCGCACTATTGTAGAAACATTTTCTACTCGGGAACCACTTTACTCTTATCACGGACCAGCGTTCAGCCGCCTTTACGTACAACAAGCAGCACAAAGGTTAGGCGAAAAACCCCGGGAGAGCTGAGCTAAATACTCCCGAGGGCGTCCTCAGGTCGCGGATAGGGGAATGGCCGTCATCTCGCGGCTAATGGTTAATAAGGTGGACTTCGGCCTGCCGAAGAAGCGGTCGCGGACGATCAGTGACAGCACTCGAGGATGTGGTCCGTTTACCCCTGGCAAGGGTTCTCCACACAAAACACCACCTATCCGTGGACAGCTGTGACGTGGCGAGATCCATTGCTCGACCAGGTTTTCCAGAAAAGGCGAATGAACCGAAGACTGGCCACCAGCTCATCTGGAACATTACTGCTGCCTTACAGACCACGCTTGGTTGCCCAAAGACCAGAGTGCATCCTCGAACAAGGCCTACTCTGGACCCGAGGACCGAGTAGTACAATAGCCCGCAACGCATACACCCATGAACCATTGCTTTTACGATTATGTGCTCTGATGCTTCTTCATCCTGCAAAAAAAACTTTCTACACCGTACACACACTCTTGTTCTCCCAGCCTCCCCCCAGCTCATCTCTACCTCCCAACACTCCTCCATCTCTCTCGGGTGCTTCAGACGATCGTACTAACAGTGGTGCCTCCATGGGCAATTCCCGTAAGCTGTTCCATGTCATCCGGGTCACCGGTAGGAAACCCTTGGTTGTGATCGAAGCTGACGGTTCGCCTCTTTATAATCAACAGCGACATGTTGGGCGGAGTACTTCAAAGCACAGTTTAGCTGGCCACCAGCGTCAGCTTCTCACAGCTATTCCAGCACACGTTCCATGGTCTGTTTCAACATACCCACCTTCTGAGGCGGAAATCCGTAAGGAGATCCAAGCCTTGGGACGTCAAAAAGCGCCAGGCTCCGATGGCCTTCACCCAGCTTTATTTGTAGATGGTGGAATAAAGCTTGTTAGAGAACTACAAGTTCTGTTCTCTAAAGTGTGAAACAC